TATCTTCAATAAAGTCCTGCCTGTTTTGACTTTAAAAAAAAAAAGACACCTTTGGGACCAGCAGTTAGCGTAATGGCTATGTCGCTGGACTACATGTAGTCGATCGCGGCTCAAGTCTCGGACCCGGTGGCTTAAAACTCATGCTAGGCACATGTGCATGCGTGCCCAAGATCCTGAGAGGAGAATGGAGGCGAAGGATTGCGGCGTGGCCATCCCTGGGAGGTAATTTCTCACTTTCTGTCTCTCTTTCTCTCTCTGTCTTTCTGGTGAGCTCATGCACCCAATAAGAAAAAACCTCTCCAAAAAAAGACGTCTTGTCTTGCTTTCTACCTCTTCTTTGCAACACATTAATTAAAAATGTGCTCATCGGAAAGACATTTACACATACATGTTCACATCCATGCTAACACGTGGAATCAATCTAAGTGCCCAACAATTGGTGACTGGACTTAAACAATATGGCACATAGGAGCCAGAAGGTGGCATGATGGTTCAGACACTGGACTCCCACATGGCTGACAGTAGTTCAAGTCCCAGCCCTTGTAGCTTGAAAATCATGCCAAGTACATGTGTGCATATGCGCCAGATCCTGAGAAGATTTTGAAAGAGGACAGATCATGGTGCAGCCCTCCCACTGGAAGGTGATTTCTCACTTTCCCTCTTTCTGTTTCTCTCTGTCTCTCTGGTAAGTATATGTACCCTATGGCAAAAAAAAAAAAAAAAAAAAAAAAAAGGGGAACAAAAAACCTTTGGAAACTCACCCCCCCCATAGACACTATGGAATACTCCTCAGCCACGAAGAACGGTGAGACTCTGTCATTCAATATGACGTGAATAATTCTAGAGGATTTAATGCCAAGTGAAATAAGTCAGTCTGTGAAAGACAAACACAGGACGTCCTTGCTCAGTAGATCAATCTGCCATAGGGCGGGCGCTACCACGCCCACACAATAGATCAATCCGTACTGAACGTCTGCACTTTATGGCCAAAGTGGAAGGAGTCGAAGACGTAGCAGTAGGAAAGACAAGCGTAGATGCCTGAGACTAGGGGAGGGGAGTGGACTGTGGTCAGGAGAGGCTCAGCCTAAAGGCACCTAACAGACACAAGAAGGTCCAGTCCTTTGCTGAAAATGACGCATATGATAATATCCTTGATGTGATTATCACACACTGCGTGTATGCTTTGAAAAGCCTAATTGTATGCCATAAAACTGTACAATTAAATGTAATTAAGAAAATACAAAATCAAACAATTTATATATGCTAATATTGACTTAATACTTCTGATATTTAAAAATGAATGAATTTCAGGGCCAACAGGTGGTGTGGTGGTTAAGGCGCTGAACTCCCACAGGGTTGACCATGGTTAGAGTCCTTGAACCCAGAGCTTATCAGGCATGTGTGCGTCCATGCCGGGAATTCTGAGAGGAGACTGGGACAGAGGAAAGTGAGGCATAGCCATCCCTCCTGTGCCTTCTCACTTTCCTTCTCTCTGTCTCTCTCTGGTGAGCACACAGTCCCTAGAACAAAAACCTTTAAAAAATTGAATTTTATAATGGTAAGATAAAATTATCATAGTCCCAATATTTTTGCATCTTTTAGGAGCTGTTTACTGCCTTTTTTTGAATATTTAATTGCTATTTTATGAAATAGTCTTATATGTACACTTATGACAAATACTTAACAAATTTTGATTGTTCCTTAATAACTTTGCAGTTTAAATCTCATATAATTTGAGACCCATTTTCTCCCCACAGGAAGAAAACAAATTTTAATAATGTACATTTGATGAGAATTAATTTATAACCCTTTCAGTGAATTTTCGTTCTAAGAATGCTCTTTATTTTGTCATCAGGATCTGTGTTCTATAGGGGTTTCCCTCTAAATTGATAGTGTATTATGATAATTACTGTATTTCCTTATGACTAACTTCTTGTACATATTTACAAACTTTTCAGGAGTGACTTTTCCAGCAGAAATTAAAGAATGCTGTAATGATGGTTATGAGATGTTTAAAATATTTTACATTTTTTTTAGAGAGAGTTTTGCTATAAGGCACATAACCCATGGGAAAAAGAGAAAGAGAAAGAGAGAGAGAGAGAGATTAAAGAATCTAACAACAGGGGGATGACTTTGACTAGGTAGAAAATCCTGAAGGGACTGGAGGAACCCATGCGGCTGTGTGACTGGGAGGAAGAGTGGAGCAAGGAGTGTCCATCCCGATGGGGAGGGTGGAAAGGCACTCTGCAGAACAGCAAAGGCAAACGGATTACAAAATTATTCCACACAGAGTGAGTGCAAGCCGCTCCTTTTCCATTTTTTCAAGCAAATCGTTAATATGTTTTACATAACTCATGAATGTTTTCTTGCTGTTGGAAAGAGAGAGAGGGGAGAGAGAGAGGTGCCATAGGGCACATAGGCTCACCAGAGAGACAGAGCAACAGAAAGCAAGAAATCACCTTCCGGGGGGATGGACATGCCACAATCCCTTCTCCTCCATTCCCTCAGGATTTGGGGCATACATGCCCATGCGGCCTGTGTGAGTTTTAAGCCACCAGGTCTGGAACTCAACCGTGGTTGACTATGTGGAAGTCCAGCAGTGGAACCATTATGCTATCTGCTGGTTCCCCTTGCTGTTGGATTTTATTTTGGGTGGGAGAGCAAACCCAAAGGTATGTTGAGGATTAGCTTCCTGTATCCACACCGGTCCCTGCAGAGAGGGACACAGGCCTTTGGGG